TTAATCTGGAGACGTGTCAGATTACTGTACTTTGTTCAGTCAAACATTTTATGTCTTACTATTTAGCTATCTTACCATTACCAATGTAACATCGTATGTACATCATAAATTCTCAGTTTCTTTCTTGCTGTACATGTACATTGCAACCAAAAAACTTATCAAATTAACCAAATCATCACTGTAAACAGCTCCATGAATGCTCCCATCTCCGAGACTTCACACAAAAAAAACTCTTGCACGCCTTGCGTGCCTATGTTTAACGAGTGATAGCTAGCGTAGCGTAGCTAGAATAAATTATAGCAGTAAGTGGAGGAAGAAATAATTCACTCGCTCGGTCCGTCGGTCAGTCAGTGGATGGGTCGTAAACAATTTTTGTGTGGTAATTCCGCTGACCAGGGTATTTCATGAGAGGGCTGACCATTGTGAACAGAATACCTTCCAAAGCGATAAACTGATCTTTCACATTTGGAGTCGAACAAATGATCCCAAATTAAAGAATATTTGGTAGGCAACAAAGGTGGTGGTTGTATAATTTGATCCATTGATAGCTTTGTCATCGGTTTTTAACAAACTTTGCCAAAAATTACATGCGATGGTTTTACTCGAGAATTGTTTTTCTTCCACAAAGAATTATTTCAAATTTCCATATCGTCTCATTTTTATTTTTATTTTTACTTTTACCTATTTTGCTTGAACATTTTTATTTTCCTTTATAAAAGCAAACCATCCCTTGTAGCTCTGAGGAAAAAACGAACCGCCAACCCTTGAATCCAACTTCCGATTCCCAGACTGAATCCTTACTGCTGCGCCACCCTGCAATTTTAACTTGTTATTAGGGAATACAGCTATTAATTCATCACAGTTTTGTTGAAACCGTTGATAGATTAGTGATTACTGCAGGCTTAAATGATTCGCAAAGCGAGCTACTACAAATTCAGATGGTTGTTGTTCTCTGCTGGGAATCACTCAATATGCTCACCAAATGACTTGTTTGACTGGCCATGTTATCTATTCATGGATATTTTGGATGCTGGGCAGATGTTCATAGTCACTCTCCATTGGAGATCGCTGTGCTCGTGCTCGTGCTTGGAAAAGTCAGCTGACTACAAAGCGCATGGCTTGTTTCAAAAAGCTTAGCCATTCGCCAAGTCTGCTCTTATGTTAGTAATTTCTTTCCCTTGATTCAACATTATTTTTAAGTGCAGTGAAGAAACGGATGTGTTTGTGATAACTTAAGTCCTAAGGACAGAAACTTCGATATCAGAATCGCCCTAGGCTTGATAGGGTAATTTTAAAGGAAAGGAGACTTACAATAAATGTGGATTTGGTCTCATTTGGAAGAAATTAAGGTCATTATAGTTATTTATCTGTTAAGTACGGTGTACAAAACACATTCAGATTTTTGTTAGAACTCGCTACAGTCATAATGATCAAAACAGCTCAAGTGTTCCACGTAAATAAACTTTATTTATTTATTTATTTATTTATTTGATAAACAGATTATGTGTAAATTAATGACTGCTGTTTAATTTATGCCGTGTCAGGCGACCGTGACAAACTCCTAAAAATGTTTTTAACCACCCTTGTAATAACATGATTGTTTAAAATATTACGAGTTGGCATAAAAGCCTTCTGATAGATTGAAGCTGTGACTTTCCCTATGGCTGTTTGTATGATTTATGATATTTCACAAACAATACCTTTCAAATGGCATTGTGCATGTGTTGTCTTTAGGTCTATGATTACTGTTTTACAAATAGTGATATGAAACGGTTAAATGCATTTCTTCGCATCATCTTGAATGAAAATTTATTGTTTTTGAACTTCCTATCACATTTCGTTTATTTGGTCATCTTTATTTGCGGGTTTTACATTTCAACGAGTGTCGCACAGGGGTATTCTCTTGATGCGTGATTAGCTGATTTTATTTTCTGTAAAACGTGAATTTAGGAAATTATTCTTCGTGACTCGTGACCTGAAGGTTTTGCGTGACCCGTGAAGAACCTGAATTTTTCACCGATATTTGTGATTTTATTACTCTATTCTACGTGATTTTCAGATGCAAGTCCTCTGAATGGTTAGAGTCATCTATTGAGAGTGATTTAAGTATGCGATTTGCAATATGGTGCCTTGACTTAGCCATTCGCGATTTCACTTTCTTCAAACACTGCTTCTAGTGTAAGTACAGGTCATTAAAAAGAGTATCTTACTTGCTTATTTTTGTGATGCAGGAAAACGAAATTTTTATATCTGTGATCCGTGATCCTCTATTTTTTCCATTCGTGAGCCGTGCCAGAGATCCCCCCTGTGCGACCCTCTTCAAACCAAACAGCGTTTTAGACTTGCGAGACCTGCTCATTGGATGTACAATGACCTCCATAGTTTTTTCTTCACTGTATTGCTTCATTCAGTTAGTCTTTTTCTGCATTCAACAGTGGTGATACTCTTTACATTCCTAGCTCAAGTAATCCATTATCTGACTGCTTTTATCTTGCAGTAACATTTAAAGCTTGCACTGGCATGACAGAAATTGATTTGTAGTTGATGTTTTAGTTTCTCTTAGTCAAGTCAGTGCAACAGTCATTATCCATAACATAAAATAGTCATGCATTTAGTATTGAAGAGTACCTCTTTGTTTTAAATCCAGGAAGGCTTGTACAATCTCTTCTGTCAGGTTGGCAAACTGAGCTCTTGTAATTTGATTCCTCAACACAACAAAGATACTAAGATTGGGTAAGTAAAGAAATACTTTTTCTCTTAAAGGTTACCAAATATATTGCAACCTCCTCTTACCTGCAGCAAGATTTATTTAGTGAAACATTATCACATTTTGCATCAGCAACTGGTGGGACATTTGGTACTTTACACTTTTGGCATTGCATATTTAGAAACATTTCATCGAGGTATCTTCAGTTGAACAGTCTTGTGTTATTTGGAACCTAGGTCATATCAAGTACACACAAAAGCAGATAATAGACTGCTTGTGCCACATGGTGGCTTTAAAAAGGACCTCGACAACTAGTGTCTTTAAACCAGATGTTGCCTTTGGGTAGACTTTTTGGCCCAGAATGCACTATTGGGATAGGTTAGGAAAATGTTGCTTGCTAAAGCTCTAAGGTGTAAAGTTAGTACAAAGACCACTACTGTAATTGCTTATCTTTTAGAATTACCCCTAGCTTGGTTCAAGAAATGTTGTCTGCTGTTTTCAAACAAGGTTCACATAAAGAGTGGAAACATATTGCTTCTCCTCAGGAACTTTTTTTTCCTTCTTTTCTATGAGAGACCAAAAAGTTAACATTCAACCAAAAGTTTCCAGAGTTATTGGCAAATATTGCTGCACACCTGGTGGCACCTTTTGAAACTGCAAATTAATTTAAGCAGTCTGTGAGGGGACTTGTTCACCAATGAAGGATATAATCTCAGTGACATAATGCTCTTTACCTCCAATACTTCTCGTTGAAGTACTTCTCATTGGTATTAATCAGTATTATTACCCAGGCAGTGAAGCCTGGGTTCAAATCGCCGTCTGGTCTCTAAAACGCATGCGTCACCTGTGCATGCATACAGCACATGGAATTTACAGAAGTTGTCGTCATGAAAAGTTAGCACCGATTCCATGTTTTCTAGGGTGATGAAATCACATACAAACAAACACACTGTTCGCGGTGGACCAACTCTAAAGGACTTTAAGCGTTTTCGGAATGAGTCGGTCTGCAAGCCTTACGAGAGTTCAATTTACCAGTGAACATTTTGAGTGAATTTATCAAGAATCATGTTGTACCAAAGGAGCTATCAACCGAGGCTATCAACTCTTCAACTTGATAAAAAGCACCTTCAGAAGCGTCGTCGTATTTTTAGATGTGATCGTGAACCAAGTAGAATCCCAGCACAAACTCAAGAAAATCTGAGCAACAAGAGCAGAAAGGTTAGAGAATTTATTTACGAATGTATCTGTTCGAGTACACCTAAGTAAAACACTCTGAGAGACTTTGTAAAGTATAATAAAGTTAAAATCTCAAACTAAACAATATTTTCTTGTTATTTTGTTGTAACAGAGTTGTGTCTTTACGAGAATGAAACCCATGTGGCGAATTATTGTACATTTAAGCTGAAAGAAACTAATGTATGTTGACCCCAGCAAAACAATTCTTGGCTTGCACTGTCACACAATCCCGACACAATAAAAAAATTATTCGAAAACCAATTAGTGGATAAAGTCAGGAAATTGTGATGTTATAGAAGATTAAGATGGATTCCGCTCTAAGTTCGAGCAATAAGTGCAAAAATTATTTACTAAAAATCTACTCATAGAACGGTAACTTTTGGAATACTATTAAAACAACTCACTTAAGTTTATTTCTCTAAGTGACCCTGTGATTAAATTCTTAAGCATTCTCGAGAAAGTTAATTTCAAACCTCATAAGAATGCTTAAAGCGTGTGTTATTGTGTTTTCAACTAACGCGAAACGTCTATTTTAATTGAAATATAGATAACTTCAAGTTCAATTTTCTCTCGCGGGGTCAGCTTCAGAGCTAAAGTCTTGATAAGTTCTTGTTAACTGTGTTCAAACTATTACCATGCCATGGGGTTTTTTTGGTAACTTAATTTTTGCCATTATTGCTCGAATGTTCTGTGGAAATCATCTTAATAAAGATGACACCTCTCTAATTTTTAAGCGTGTGCGTTTTCCCAAACCTCAGATATTCTTTGAAATATTTTGCACAAATTTACAGAGCCCAGTATGGAGCGGCCATGTTGGTGTACCTCTGGGTACACCAACATAGCAGCCAGAAAATAGTGTAAACATCTTGAACTTACTTAGCTATCTAGGCGACTGGTTATCTGTACTGAACAAACAAGCATTTACATAAGCACTTTTCCTAATACTTTCACTTCTGAATGGGCTAGTATATGTTTTTCGACAAACGCGTTCGTAGCTCTATGTCACGCATTGCCATAACTCTGAAATTCAAAATGTCTCGCTTTCTTGAGAAAAACACACAGAAAAAAAACAACAACAACCAAAAAGGCTAAGGAAAATAGACTGAAACGTTTATAGGCTGATATACAGAACTTGACTCATTTCATGCCCTAAAGGCCTGCGAACCAGTAATAAGCTATTAATCGATTCCAAGAAATGCAATCAAAGGCAGAATAGCTTGAGCACATCGAACTCAATTGAATTTTGAACGACTTCAAATGCAGAACATTTAGCTAAATTGCAGTATAGCTAGTGTTTCTTAGTATAACGACTGCCTGGGTACATGTAGCATTTGAAGCGTCTAGTTGTGTATTAATTTTTAGTGGTTTTATTGTTTAACTTTCTGCCATTTATCTCCAGTTCTGCAAAAAAGAAGCATAGCTTCCATGTTTTCTAGAAAACAAGAGTTTCATGTTATGTACCTTTGGGAGGAAATGAAAAGCATTAAGTTACGAAAATTGGAGTGAAAAGTTTAATTGTCACATTTGCTATTGGAACTTGTTATTGAATTAAAATGAACAAGAATCAACGTAAAACATGACTGTAAAATTCAATGCTGTCTTGATAAACAGCGGTCTTAAATTATGATTTAGACCTTCATTGAAAATACACTCATGAAACACACACACTGCTAAGATGATGTCTTATCCAGGTTTCTGTGTGTCCCTATTCTACGAGGCAAAAAGTCCTGGCTGACTACCAGCTGAAGGTAAATACAAACCGGCAGTGAACGGAAGGGGTGAGGACCTCTGTGAATATTGTGTCAGAGCTGAACATTGCACTCTGTAGTATCTGAAATTGTTTCGCTAGTTGAAATCTATGAGTTATGCAAGTTCATTTTGTGCACATGGTTAATTTTTGGAAAATAAGTGGTATGTGAATTCAATAACTTTCATTTTAAGGTTTATCAAATTTTCAATAGCTGATTACCAAGGTCAATTGCACTTATTAGAAAGGGGGCCATTATTGGAAGGGGCACTAAATCGAATCATTACAATTATTTCCAGTTGATCTTTATTTTGTACCATTCCTAGTTACTATGTCACTTGTCCTGGATGGTTCCAGGGGGTCCTGAGGGCTTTCTTCCCTGGAAAATTTTTAAAATTGACTTCCTCGGAAATGGGATTTCCAGCATTCAGAGGCCAAGTCAGCATGTTATAATGTTTCATTTTTTTTTAATTAAGGGGCTTCAACCGACCCCCCCCCCTTCCCCGACACCCCTAGATCTCCCCCAGCTTGTTTCATGTAACAGTAGGTCTTAAGGTATCATGGTGGGTACAATTTTATGGAAAATGCAAAACATTTTTTTTTTGCTGTTCAAATTGAGAAGACTGCTAAGTTGCAATCTCCGGTCATCTCAACGAAGTGAACCTCGCTGGACAAGTGATAAGTTGAAATGTTGCTCTGAGTTTCCCACCTGTACTCAGAGTAGAGCCAGTGGAAGCAGTTTAGTCTTTCCAACTTTGACCCTAGTTTGGGTAACCTGCTGCCTAAAGAGTAGATCCTTTTAGGAAGTGGTAGAGTACTCAAGAAGTTGGGAGAAACACTCGACTACATCTCATGTTTCCCCCTACATTTCTCTCTTGCTCTAGCCACTTTCTGTGTGCTTTACAACAGAATATAGCACGGTCGGGGCTTCTTTATTTGTTAAATTTGTTGAAGAAGAAATAAGCACCCTGTCCCCTTATAAGCATCGCTTCTCCAGCAAGTGTGCTCCCATGAGCTACCAAAAGTACAATGTATAATTATAAGCCCTCTGGGTGCGAAATTGAATCATTACAGTACTTTAAAAAGGTAGGAAAATACAGAGATGCAAGTTTGGTTGTACACAAGAGTAATCAATTTGCTTGGGGCAGAATTCCTCCGGAAAGTGTAACTTGCAATTGACAGGAATGGCAATCTCTACTTCTTCTCAGACCTCAGCCACCCACCTCTATGCTTAACACATGACATTTTAACACTGCCATGCGCTGTTCTGGAACCCAGAGAAATCAACACTAATTATTGTGACTGGTAAATATTTTGACTCCTGTTTCAGGTTTGTGGGCTATGACACTGTGCGTGAGGCAGAAGCAGCAATACAAAAGTTTGACGGGTTTGATTTGGGACAAGGTCATCGGCTTAAGGTTGCACTTGCCCTGTCGAAACAGAAACCAGACTTTGGAGACTTAAGAGACATATCAAGTGATGGTGCAAACAGAAGAATACACGAACATATTGATGATAGTGCAGCTTCAAGGTAAACATCAAATCTCTTGTACTGAAAATTTACAAGCTGTCAGTGCCATTTTCATTGATGGCCAGCAATTGATGATGTAACGTGCTTCTTTCAAGGAGGGACTGTTAAAAAAACATTTATGTTTGCTTCAGCTTGGTTCACACTAGCGACATAACAACATAACGACATGAACTACATAATTGTTTATGTCAGTAATGTGAACATCAACTGAAAGACAAGTTTAGGTGGAAAAAAGACTTAAAAAAGGAGAGAGAAAGACTTGTTTTTGCGATTATTCAGTTTCTTTGTCTTTGATGACGGTGTCATCGAAGAAAACAAAGGGAAAATACTAGAAGAAAAGGATGAATGCATCTGATCTATCATCAAGATGCTAGGAGAGCACACGCCCAGTACCAAAATCCCGTCAGGGCTAAGTTTGGATGATCAAGGATATTATTTCAGGTAAACAGGTTAACCCTCCTCATCTTACTTGACAGTTGCTGCCATTTTGAAAGCAGTGCTGGTTGTGGGAAATCTCAAGAGAGGTCGACACTTTCACAAATCGCAAAATGTTAAGCAGCTTTATTGTAGATAGTAACCCTCACAGAGCGCTCAATTAGGTGCATAATTATAAAAACCAACACTTCTATCTTTCTTATGTTCCCTATACAAACACTCATTGGCAAAGAAGTTCTCTTTTGACTAGTCCACACAAACTACGAATGTGTATTAATATTCTTTCACGCATATTTTTGACCTCTCACGCGAAAACGTTACTAATGGATATCCGTTAAACGGTCAAAATAGGGAGCTTTAGCACGCGCGTTTTTGAGACGCGGACGGCAACCGGAAGAGAAGATTTCGCATGCTAGGACCGTATTGTCTCCCAGACTTTTTATACTACTCATCTCTAATGAAGAAAAGATACTTAGCAATGTGAATATGGCTGTGTGAGGACAAGTTAAAAGTGAAAGTAGCTCACTTCCGGCTACCGTCCGCGTCTCAAAAACGGGCGTGCTAAAGTCCCCTAATGAACGGCTGGCGAACGGCTAACGAACGGATGAGAAACGGATGTTCCATCTGTTCAAAACGATTTTAAATACCACTCAAACGGCCACAGAAAAATTTCGAACGGATGCTGTAAACGTTCGAAAGGCACTGGAAAAATTTCAAACGGCTGATGCCAGCCATTTGAACAGCACAGGAAGCATTTTAAACGGATGACGACGGCTAATGAAAAATTTCGAACGGATGACGCCAGCTGTTCAAACAGCGGACAAAAATTTTGAACGGATGATGCCAGCCCTTCGAACTGCTAAAGAGACATTTGGAACATATGATTCCAGGCGTTTGAACAGCGGAAGAAAAGGGCTCGTATTGAACAAATGGTTATAAATGGCTTAGCGGCTAAGAACGCGTTTAAATAATGTCAAATAATTTAAGTGCGAAGCTTTTAGGAGTTTTCACTTGTTTGGAGATTTTGTCTACGCACGGCTAAACTTTCCGAAGACACGAATCCCTGTGCTTCAACAACTACAATTATTTAAGGTATCATGGTAGGTGAATTTTTACGAAAAACGCGAAAAATATTTTTTTTTGCTGTTCAAATTGAGAGGACTGAGATAAATATTTTGCAAAAAGAATGGTAAGAAAAGCTTTTTTACTTTTTAAGATAAGGAGAAAACTATTTACGGTGTGGCATTTCATTTGAACGAAATAGACATGCACGTGAACTGTTCTTGATCCGGTTGTCTTTATCGTTAGTTAGCTTTTGTTCTTGACAAACTTAGCTTTTGCTTTCCTTAATGTCCGAACGAAAACGCAAGAAAACTTCTTGTCCATTTGCATCTTCGAAGAAGCCGAGGAAGGGAAAATCTGGAATCAACGAATTCAGTGTGGAACAAGCAAGATCTTTGCCTTTGAGCAACCGTGGGTCGTACTACAACCAAGACGAATGGTTATTCGAGGACACTAGTCCCGCCAATGAAGCCGTAGAACAACCTGCAACAAGTGCTAGACGCACGAAAATATTGGCAGAGAACGGACGCGGCTCCGAAACGTCTATGACGACAAAGTCAAGCGAAGATGTTGAGCCGTGGGACAAACTTCGTGGAAGGACGATTGTTAGCGGCGATAGGCTTCAGGAAAGTTTGGTGAAGTCTGTATCCTGTCGAGCATTTTGTCCCTCGGATTTTCATTTGTTTCCAGCTGAACATCGACTTGCGAGGTTCGCTTGCCGGCCCGCTTGCCTGTTCCACTTCGAGATTTCCTCTTTTTGGCTTCTCGAGGCATGGTTTTAATAAATGTCTGGAGAACGAAGAGGTCTAAAGTTGAGCAACATAATACCAATTCTGCCGATGAAATCTTCTGTGTAAAAGAAGTCACGGCAGTTTACATACAAACCTTTTTAAAGCTCCAGTATTTTGTCCTTCGAACGATAACACTGCGGCTGGTTTTCGCACCAGAATTGTAGACGTCTGTTTATTTCAAGTTGCCGACATCTGTCAATGAGTCATCAAATCTCCTTACATGCGGGGATTTTTAACACCTAATCATAGAAATCTCATAAAACGTTTTTCGTCTTTTTCTCGATGAAATAAAACGGCATCTAAGGGTGAACATTTTTAGTTCGTTTACGTGCGTCTTCCGACGGAATTAGTTGAAAATCGGCAGCCATGTTCAAGGATACTTCGTTCGAAAAAGTGTGTCAGGCTTTGTTTAATTTCGCTTCCGTTTAAAAGTTATGGCCTCTCTTGTAGAAAGGAACGTTCGCATTGACAATATCAAACTTTAGGAGGTTGTAAAAGAAACCAAACCACATCTGGAAAATCGCAGACACGATTTTTGAGGGTGACGTGTGAGAAAACATTTCCGATGTTAATCGCGCTGCTCCGATAATTCACGCGCAGAAGCAAACCAATTTAGGCAAAGCAGTGTTTCTGGATATTTCTTTTAATATCACTGCGACATTGACTTTTTAGAAAATTTCAAAGATATGATTGTATTCTATAACTATTAAGTGGCAATCCCGCTAAAAGCGGTCCACTCGACTTCGGGACCAAAAATAATTTTCCTTCATTTTTTGTCTGTGAAAAGGGTTTGACACATATA